GTGTGTAGAGGCTATAGGGGGACAGCGGGGCAGTGTGTGTGTAGGGCTGTGGGGGGGCAGGGGGCGCAGTGTGTGTAGGGGTTGTGGGGGGCAGGGGGGCGGTGTGTGTGTAGGGCTGTGGGGGGGCAGGGGGCGCAGTGTGTGTAGAGGCTATAGGGGGACAGCAGGGTGTGTGTAGGGGCTGTGGGGGGGCAGGGGGCGCAGTGTGTGTAGAGGCTATAGGGGGACAGCGGGGCGGGGTGTGTGTAGGGGCTGTGGGGGGGACAGCGGGGCGGGGTGTGTAGGGACAGCGGGGCCAGGGGCGCGCCTGCACGGGGGGGAGGGGGCGAAGCTGCAGGCACCCGGCCGCGGTTCCTGCCTGGCCGCCCGGGGGCCCGCGGGCGGGCGGGCGGACGGACGGACTGATGGGGAGCGGCCCGTGGGCGGTGGCCGCGCGGGGGCGGGCGGCAGGCAGGGAAGGGCGGGCCGGGGCCGGGGCGGGGGACGCAGCCTGGGCCGGGCGAGCGCGGAGCTAGCGCCGCCGAGCCGGGGAGGAGGAAGTCGGAGCCGCGCTGCTTCCTGTCCCCAGGATGATGATCGCAGACAAAGCTGGGTGGGGACGCCGCTCCCAGGGCTGCCGCTGAGCCCGCCGCCCCTCCCGGAGAAGGCGAGCTCCAGCTGTTCCCCCCGGGCGAGCCGCGACCGGAGCTAGAAGGTAAAAGCCCCAATCTCCGGGGGGTCCGGTTCCGCTCCAGCCCCGGGTGCTGCTGGCTAGCCAGGGGGGCGGGCGGGGCAAGTCTCAGCCACCGGGGCTTTTTGTTCAACAAACCCATTTACACGGGGGCAAGCAAGCGGCGTGACGCTGTTTCCACCCAGTTCCCCACCGGCAGGAGCCAGGCGGGGCGTGTGCATCGCCCACCCTGAGCCAGCGCTGGGGCTTGGGCCAGCCGCTCTCGTAAACCCGTTTGCTCCCACACGTTACACGGTTGTGGATCCGTGGAGCGAGGATGTTAATTGCAATGATCACGGTTAAAAGCGTGCGCGGAAATCGCTTTGCTTGACAGCCGTAGGTGCCGCCGGGCTCCAGAGATCCTTCTGGTGTGTCTGCAATTTACAAACGGTCTGGTAATAGGGACTCCGGATCACAGGAAAGTGGCCGCTAGCTATGCATCCCCTGCTCAGATAACCACGGAAACCACCCCACGCTTCGCTGGTAGGTTCGATGTATAGTTGAAGTTGTTTACTCTGAAGCAAAAGAAGAAACGGATTCGTTAGAACCAGTAACCGTGCGTTGGTTTCAGCTGGCAATGCTCAGCTTTTGCAAGCACTTCCAGAGTGTTCATGTTAGCTTTCTAGACGAAATGGGCCGTGGCGTTCAACCAGATGGAGGTGAGAGGGAGCACCCGAAGTAGAAGTGCAGATTGCTGGTCTCTTAGCAGAATGGTGGCAAGGTGCAGAATGCTTTCCCCCTAATTCCTGGCGAGATCGTATGTGGGCATGATAGCAGGTCCGTTTTAATTGAAAAATACCAGTGTCTTGTTCCCAGTGCCATTCACAAATCGGAACACAGGAAAGGGATTGTTTTGGGAATTCAGGTTGTGCAAATTTTGCATGGAAACATAGATCGGGGGTTAAAGACTGTCGATAAAAATTGGACTCTTTTTTGTAAAAGGTCCCGTCTCCTCAACAAAGATTTAATTTAGAAATGTTGATCCTCAGTTAATCAACTGATTTGCTGTTGTAGGAAAAGCTTTTTCATGGATGAATGAGGTCTAGTGTTCCATTTATTTATTTATTTATTTGGGGAAGGGAGGGATTTTCATTTAACTGAAATTAACCGTCCTCCCCGAAATAGTCAGTATAAAATCAAACTTGAAAATTTCAATGATACATAAATGTCTAATTCCCCATCTCTTTGGATTAGAATCTTTCCACCCCTTAAAGTTTCCATTTTATCCCAAAGATGGAATACCAAAGTATTATCCACACCCTTACTCCACCTCCTCAGACAGAAGCACTTGGACAAAGCACAAAGGAGCATCTGTACAAAGGATTGGAGTTCAGATTATTATTTTTCAAAACCCATTTTTTTATTACTGGGATTTAACAGGAAATACTGGTGATCGGTAACTGTTTAATGAGGAGTAACCATGGCAAAGGAGAATTTTGTCTACATTGCTGTTAGAAATATGTGCAAAACTATATAAATGATATACAGATGTAGGTGGAAAAATAAACTTGGGAAACTTAATTCCTTGGGTTTATTTTTCAAATAATGGAATCGATAGACTCGTATTCAAGGGATTCTCCTCTTTCTTGCTACCTTGATTGAAAACGGATTTATATATAAACAAAAATCCCCATCTCTCTCTCCCCACCCCCAAGATGATATTAAAGTTAGAGAATAATCAACTAAAAGATAATGATCCTTAACTTATAGGACAGAAGTAACTTTCATACTGTGGTACCTGTTGTATCTAGCTCACTGTAGTCGTTTAAAATTAGGTTTATTGCTCCCATATTTTATTTAAGGAGCCGGAGACTGGCATGAAACTGATTTTCTGGCCAACTCCCAATCAGGATCCTCCCACTGCTCTCCCTAAGACAACACAGAGCTTGTAGTTCTGCCCAGTAAACAAACCTCTGAATTGTCAGATAGCTTGGACTAAAAGATTAACCTGTATAAGGAAAAAGGTTTCCATGTATACTGGCAGCATGATGTGTCCAGTACAATAATGGGGTTTTATTTTTTGTTGTTGGGGGAGGGGGGTTGCTTATAGTTTGACTGTATTAACTGGATTTCACTGAATACATTTTGAGACTGAAATTTCTAATCCTCTTTTCTGCCATATGGCCAGTGGATGAACTGAAATATGACTCGATTAATTATCCCATAGAAAGCACTAGGGTGAAGCTCTTGTGTTTTTTAAATTGCCTGCATCTCCTGAGTAGATGGGGTGTGTTAGAAGCACTCGGTGCAAAAGCCTGTCTCTAATGCTGTAAAAGGGCCACGCGGAGATTCTTGATCAGTTTAATTGAAGGCCGGGCTCTGAATGCAGGCTGTTGGAGCACTTATTCAGAGGATTATAATAGGTCTTTTCTAATACACCACAAATCTTTTGATTGTAGCATTACTCGAGTCAGCACAGCGTTGCGGTTGGTACCGTCCGTGCCCTACTCCATTGTTCACCATGACTATCGACGTAAATCAGTACCACTAGGCTGCTGATCAGCTTTGTAAATGCCTTAGTCATGGTACTGTTTGGATGAGATTCCTCCCCACCACCCCGCCCGGAATCAAGAAGGGACCAAAATACATTAGTTTTTTTGTTTGCTTCTGTTATGTTTTCCCCAGAAAATAAACTTCCCCTCCCCCCTTTTAAAGCTGGCCTTAAGAAGAGCTCTGTGTCAGCTCGAAAGCTTGTCTCTCTCACCAACAGAAGTTGGTCCAATAAAAGATATTACCTCACCCACTTTGTCGTTCTAATCTCCTAGGACAAACGCGGCTACGACAACACTGCAAACTATATAAGGAGTCATGTCTACGTACGAAACATATTTTTTCTGCTCATTACAGTATTAGTTACTGTACCAGGAGCCTATCAGAAACAAGTGTGGAACCAATGAGTATTTCCAGAATGGGGGATCAGGTCATGTGACCCCATGTCCTGTTGGTTCTTTAATATATTTTTTCCTCTTGCACAGATGCATTTTCTGTTGTGCTTTAGGCGAGGAGGGGATGGAAGAAAGAGCAGGCAGGGTGCCGTGATTTAGGGAGGGCATTCTGGGTGTAAGGAGCATCTTGGAATATGGTGCATCCACATTGTGAGGGCGTGGAAGGAGAGCATTCAGAATGCAGGAGGAGTTGGCAATTATAGCGCATGGGTGGGGGGATAGTGGGAAACCGGCCTGGAGAGCTAGCTAGGGAGAAGCCAGGCTGTGCAGAGCCTTGGAGAAGAGTTTGAACTGGATACAGAATGCTCCATTTTCTTTACTGGGGCTGCTAATTGCTTTTAAATGCTGCATTAGGAAGGTTTCTAAGCAGCATTCAGGAACGACTTGGCTGGCACTGAGAGTTTCTTGCTGGACTGCTTCTCTTCAAGGCATGCTTCGTGCCACTGTGCTTTTCCATCCCAGTTATCCCGGTGACTGAGTGTTAATGGGCGTGGCCACTTGACTTGCGGAAGTTGCCATGTGTACCTTCTGCTTGTGTTCGCCAATGAAAGGCGAATAAAAGCCAATGGTGTATTTAATTTCCCATATCTGCCAACTCAGCCCCCCGTATATGATGGGGATGTGTCTTCAGGCAATGCACAGGGAGTGAGAAACATTTGTGGTCATGTCTCTTTGTTTGAGGAGAAGTCTTTTCCCTACTCCTTTGGGGGTATTGTAGGTGCTGTAGCACATCCAGGGGTATATGGCAATCATATGAAAGGTGGTATGGTATAACTCTTGAGCAGGAGTGATGAACAGAGCAAATTCAACCAGATGTCTGGGACTATAAACAGTACAGGGGAAAAAAAAAAAAAAGTCTTGGATTTTGCTGCCTGCAGCTTGGGAACTAATCCTGAAATGTGGGAGAGCAGGTGTAGCAGTGAGGTGGTTTCCAGACCTAGTGAGAGTCTGGCGTGGTACCCCTAGGGAATCCCGCTGGCACAGCTCTTACTCCCCAATCTCACTGGGGCCGGCAATTTGTTCGGAACATATTGAGACTCGCTCTCCAGACGCAGAACGCGCGGCAGAAATCGGCTCACCGGAGATCTTGGCATGAGCAAGCATTGCCCTAGTGGGCTGCTGCTGCCGTGGGCACATTCCAAGTTCTGGGAGCCTCCACCCCATGCCAGCTGGAAGCTCCGGGGAGGGGTCAGTCCTGTTTAATGAAAACCTCTGTCACATTAGAAAGCGATTGTAAAACCCGGGTCAGACCAGACAGGGTTGCACTTAACGTGCCGCTCTGTCTCAGGCAGTCTGCAGAGACATACATTAAAGGAAACCTTGGGAGTTCCCTTGGCTGCCCATTCAACCGAAGTAACTAACCTCAGACAGGCTCGGCCTGTGCCCAAGTATCCATCTCGGTGCCTTCCCCTCAGACAGGTTTCCCATCCATTTCTCGTGCTGGCCTTTGAGAAAGTGGCTCGTAATTGGATTTCAATTTCAGGGAAAGTTCTAAACCTAGTTTCCTCCCTGTTGTTAAATACTTCGGTGTGTGTGTTTCCTGGTGGCACGGCGCTACCTCTGGGTGTGTGAGTGACGATGCGAGGAGCCAGGACAATCTTAACATCTTCTGGATGATGAGTCTGATTCTGCCCTCGCTTACACGCCCATGCTACCGCAATGTGGCCAAAATCTGGCAAATCTCTCCCCTGGAGGGGGAGCCTGGGGTACAGTAGAGTCACCGTAGCTGCTCTTAGGCCAGCCACTCCACCTACTCAGCTGCCAGCCTAGGATGTATGGCCGGAAGATAGGGGGGCGGCCAGGCCTCCCCTTCACTCCAGTGATCCCCAGCCATCATAACAGCTCCTTGAGGTCCCTTCCCACGGGTACAGGTTACAATAGCCTACCCCATAGCCAGGGACTGGCCTGGTGAAGAGCAGCCCATGCTTCTGCACACCCCCTCCTCAGCTGCACCAAGATCTCCTTGGCCGGAGCTTAGGGTCTAGCTCAGTACCTTTTATCGGCTTGGCTTCTGGCCTGTGAGCTGGTTTACCAAGAAGAGTGAGCAGAATCCGCAGGGATTTTTGTTTGTTTGCGAATTGTTTGCCTAGACGGACCCAGCCAGTTAGCTGCCAAGAAAAGGCCGATTTCAAAGATGTGGAAGATGTAATGCAGAGGGTGGGTAGCAAGAAGCATCAGCCGTTCCGGCTGGATTCAGGCCAGGGTGACGTTCTGGTCTTGTTTTGGAAGATGATGAGGTTAGGCTGTGAGAGAAGAAAAAGGTTGGTTGGTTTGTTCTGGCGAGCTCTAAATCCTACTTGGTCCTGCAGTAACGTAAGATCAGCAGAGCTTTCCATAGTGTGTGTCTAGGTGAAAGATTCATGATTTCGTCTCTGTATTTCCTAATTTGCCAATGAAATCTGCTTTCCATAGATGACAGCTGACAATGGGTCTTGGTTCTTGTTAGCTGAGGACAGTAATTGCAGGTGCATTGGAGAACAGCTGACGCTAGCCTTGGGGAAGATAGAATTAGAAGTGAGTAAAATGGACTGGGTGCCG